CTATACTATACTATACTATACTATACTATACTATACTATACTATACTATACTATACTATACTATACTATACTATACTATACTATACTATACTATTCAGATTAGCCTCTACAGACAAGTAGCAGACGCGTGGCAACGTCGCAGTTGCGTTATAGAAAGGTACTTACGGTTCGTACTCCAATTGGTCATTTCTGACCTCTTGGAACGACGTCTTTCTGACGGCTCTGCAACAAACGAGCGCTCGCTTTTAACAGCAGCAAAAGCAAGTTCACACACCATATGCTCCCCGCTCTCAGGGCACGCAAGATTCACACTAGCATTCAATATTAACGAATATTACGCGACAACTACAACACATGAGACAGAACACATCTCTAAGCAGGTTTGACAACTTGATTAGGCAAGTGTGACTTGCCGAAACGATGACCTCTTATCAAAAAATCTAGCATACAAGCCTAAAACGAGCGCGTCACACGTGAGATAAATTCCGAACGACCGCAAGCACTATAGAGATTGACAACGACAGTTTCCAGCTGGCCGCAACATGCAAGTAGAGGCGACTTTCCATCGCCCTGCGACAGGCGCTGATAACCAGCCCGGCGGACCCAACAGCAGAGGGATGCGACCCTCGCGTAGGACGTGCCCGCTCGTGCGCGTAGACGGAACCTCTGCGGAGGCGCGCGCTCCCCGCGGCGGCGGTGCGACGCGACGATGTACTTACGACGGAGGCGCGGACGGGTCGTCGCTGAGCGTGACCGAGTCGCCGGGCAGCTCCGAGAAGCATCTCTGGCAGTAGACATATCTATCGTAGAGAAGGCCAAACTTCTTTGTACTTCATTGCCCCATCGCGCGGTCGTCGGTGGGCCCGGATTTGAAATAAATGTGGGCGGACGGGCGGGCGGGAGGTGGTGCAGACAAGCCATGAAAGTAAACCAAGGCAGAACAAACACGAGACAATTAGAATAAAGATTAAAAAGACTTCACCGGAACGATACGACGACAGACACGACTCATGCTGGTACCTTTCTCACTTCTTCATTCACTCAATTCACAATCATACACAGAATGTACGACACAACTCCTTTCTGTCATCACAGCTCATGTTCAATCCGTTGACTAATCTCTGCAGAATAACAATTCCTCAACAGAAATCAAAACGAAATTACTTATTACACCGCGTATACATGCAGCAACACTCACACTAACACATGCAGGGGTCGATTATTTATTTGAAGGGTTGAGGCAAACGCTACATGGGGTTGAATTTTCGGGCATCACAGCGAGTTGGAAAAGCACCAATTTTTTCAAATGTAAATTTTTTTCCAGATGGGGAAACTAATGCAAATTACATTTTATCATTAGTTTTTAACATGGGATACTAAGGAATACATAAGCAACATGGGATGGGTAAAGATGCAAAGTTATCATGGCAGCCACAATAGTGTTGTGTAATCGAGGTGGATAGCAGCTAGTTTTCAAGGCAAGTAAGGTCGTAGTAAAATTTATGCCTTGGACACACGACTCACACACACGTAAGCATGCACGCAAGCACACACACTCGCACGTACACCTACACGCACATGCACACGCCCATGCACGCACGCACGCACGCTCGCGTAAAACATACATGCTAAAACTAAGGCACACGCTCACATTTTCCAGACACGATTACAATTCGCTACAGGTATAGTTCCATACATGCAGGTAACACGCAGCACAGAGCGACACGCAACAGAGGAGCTCACGTGCACACGTTTGCCGCAAAGCACGGACAGTGTGGGGGCGCGGCAGCCAGCTCGCGCTCAGCTTGCCCGACGCACCAGGAACGGGGGAATCCGGGCCCCAGGCAAGGCTCTCACACGCGCGCGCATTGTCTACACGTTACGCGTCACGTTACTCTCTAACAGTCTATCTTCGTTAACGAGTGCAAGTACGTCAAGTATAGATATATCTCTCTCTCTCTGTTTCTCTCTCTTCCTCCCATTCGCCATATCTCTGGCTGTCTCTCTCTCTCTTCCACTCTCATTATCTCTCTGTTTGTCTGTTTGCCTCTCTCTCGCTGTCGCTCTCGCTGTCGCTCTCGCTGTCGCTCTCTCTCTCGCTCTCGCTCTCGCTCTCGCTCTCGCTCTCTCTCTCTCTCTCTCTCTCTCTCTCTCTCTCTCTCGCTCTCGCTCTCTCTCTCTCTCTCTCTCCCCCAACCCCACCACCTCCTCTCCCTGCCATTCCTCCCCTGCCCTCGTCTCCGCCCCTTCTCCCCCCTTGTCCCACCTACTCTCTCTCGCCCTCTTCCCCTGCCCTCCCCGACCTCGATCTCTCCCACCTCTCCCCTGCCTCTCTGCCCTGGCCCTCCCCTGCCCTTCTCTTGTTCAATCTCGCACGTATGTCTTACGGGTGTCGTCCCCCCGCTATTCGATTTGTGTGCGCAGGCGACTACAACGACATCGTCACAGAATCCGATGGACTGCAGTAACGATCAAGACGAGCTGGTACACGGGTCAGTACCAGAGACCCGTGGCACTGTACGTCGACGCGACGTGCTGCTCATGTTCGACAACGCCTAGGCTTCGGCTCTACAACCGCAAGACGTCGCGCGTCTACAGATACTCTTCCAAGTGACGCGACGCTCGTATGCATTGAATGCCGGATATTCTTTAATCATCTAAAGCGCCCCGCCACCGGTGCGCATTCGGCGCGCGCAACGGCGCTGCAGCCAGAAAAATCAACGGCTGATAGCATATTTGTGTTCACGATGCAAACCGCGCCGCCCACTAGGCTGGCATGTGTGGGGGCGGCGGGGGGCCTTACATCCTAGATACTAGAATAAGTTTCCAGCCTAAACTGCTTCACACGGTGTTATCGCTACAGCGATATAATATCTTTCGTTGCAACTCGCCCACTGTATCGTTTTCGCGGATCGCGTGCCCGTTGCTCAGTATAGGGTGCTGAGAAAGGCACCCAATGTGACACGTCAAAGTCGCCGGCAGTTAGCTCCGTCAACGTTCCCCAGAGCACGAATCAGCAGTCGCCCACCCCATCCACACAGATGGAAACGACAACCCGCGACCCGCTAGTTAGTATCCCTGTGCGCCATCACAGCTTGCCCCCTTGGCAACGGAAGTACTCAATGACCCCCTCCGAACGCTAGGCAGTTTCCCCACTGCAAAGTTCGGCTGATTGTCGGTTCCCGACTGCAGAGCAGAGGCGCCGCACGACTGGACTAGATCACTTCTTATATTTGTTTTTCCCCCCGCCGGATTTTTCAAGGCTCGCGTGAGATGGTGTCTCGAGCAGACTCGGTAGACGACTGTACTCAGCGGCAGTAATGCGAAGTCCGCATTCGGCAATATGCCTGCAAAGCGTAGGAAGTGGGTCTTCTTCAGCCGCAGACCGCTCTTTCTGTTACGCGCGCACACAGAACCTACGCTCAGTGCGATCCCACGCGCAGAACGCGCACTATCGGAGCTATCACAACAGGGTTTAATAGAGTCCTCAAAAAAATCATATAAACCGAAATATTCAAACCTAATACTCCATTAAATACAGCATACCACTGAATTCACTACCAAAACGCGAAAACGTCTTGGCGGTGTAAGAATGAGCACGCTCGCATCTTAGAGAATAGAGTAGAAGAGAGATATCAGAAAACGTAGAACGACAGCGATATTTAAATCCTCTCTAACCCAAAAAACGAAGCGCATTCAAGAAAGACGCACAGACAATGCACTCGCTCGACATACGCAGCGGAAAAAGCTTGAGATTGTGGTAATATATCGGAGAAGTGAGCGGAAAGAAGCAGAGACAGAGGAGGAGAGAGCGAGTGCGCGAGAGAGAAACCCAATGAACTAACAAGAGAGCCATAAAATAAATTTTCACAATTGGATTGATGCGCAAACATTTACAAAAACTAGAGAATCAAATACATGCATCTAATCAGACTACGAACAATTACTACCTAGATGTCGAATGCAGTAATTTATATAAAACTAGAGGCATTGCCTAACCGATATTACCAAGAACCCGCCCCCCCCTCCCACACACACTCACACACACGCAAAACACAC